AGGATGAAGTTTTCAGTCATTATTCAAACCACATAGTATAAGTGCGCATTTCATGTCGAATTAATGCCTTCATGGCGATGTAGTATCAATATTAACTTCAGTCAATGAAATCAGCGTTATTAAACCATTTCCACACATTTCAATTTTTTTTCGTAGAGAATTTCAAATTGTTTAACTTGAAAATTTGCTTAAAAAAGTGCAGACCTAAAACAAAGCGGACTTGCAGTTTACACTCACTCATTATCTTTATGGCCAAACACCTAATTGGCGCATTGGCGCACACGTTCCATAATGATTTCGCTTCCTGAAACCTTAACGTTGCTTGCAGGTTTTAATATCAAACTCCGAAGAAGAAAGCGCAACATAGTTAGAGCTAATACCGATCTTTGCTGCAACGCAACATGCCGCACTCTCGATCGGGGAATTCTTATGAATATGGAGATATCCTAGATGGCGCATGTGTCAATAGACCGATACGACCATAGGTTAAAGCGACGATAATCCGCGTTAAGCCGCGCAGATCGATACGTATGCGGCTTACAGGCGACGCCGACAAAGCGGCGACAACTAATGGGAACGGGCGTAGTAGGTGGCGAAAACCGGAAACGCGAAAGCGCATCATCAGCGGCGCGGCATTTTGCGCCAGAGCAGAAATGACGACTCAATGTGGTCAATTGATTGATCATTATCATTAATCAGCTCATTTTCGCTTGTCTTTGAATGATCAATCTTTAATATATATAAGAAATTATTGACTAGCTGTTGAGTAGCGATTCTCGCTGTATCTTGTATTGTATGCTTCTCTTGGATAATGATTTGAGTAAGTACCCTTAATGTTCGTAATGCCAATTAAATGGAATCCCAAGCATCAATAACGAATTATTTTATTTCCAGTCGCGCGAATTCGTTTAGGGGTTCGAGGTGGGGAGGGAGGAGCAATCAGGGTACACAGCGACTCGAAACACATATGCGATACAACCATAAACGCTATATTATAGAAGTGGACGGCGAGATTTAAAACAGGAGACGGCTATCACACGTGTCGATGAATAATCACAGAGCTGGCACGAGGTATGCGCTGGCTAGCGGCGATCTCTTGCCAAACTGTAACGGCCGATAGTCTCGTTTGCCAAACTGTAGGGGTCGATAACCATCTCGTTTGCCAAACTGAAACATATTTAATTATTAAAGGGCTTTTTGCAAGTTGTCAAAGAAGACTTGGAATCATTCCCCTTAAATTTTTTACCCATACGGTTATTTGAAATGCGTTTTTATTTGTAGTTTTTATTTTAGATTAAAGAATTAGAGATGTTAATGAGGTATATGCTGTTTCTGCTTAACGTTTGAAGCAGTGCCACTTCTAAATGCGCGATAATATGTCGTTTGTCTACGTTTATTTGGAGAGAACTGGCATGTGCCACCATGTCCGCCTACGAGCCGTTCCGCATCTATCAGCTGCGGACTTAATTTCTCTGTTTCTGTGTATTGATAAGCAGATGTAAGACAAGCAGATAGAAATAAAGTCATTCTGTGTGTTTATTTTTGAAATAACCCCAAAATGTGAGGTCCAGACTAATTTAAACTCCTTTCCTTACTTTTAAGGAACCGAAATCCCCTTGATAAATACATGACTCTTTTTTTCGAAGCTTGCTAAAAGCTGCGTGGGTTGCTGGGATTTCACTCTCTCTTAGTTTAATAGGGTCCACCAAAAAGGGAAATCTCCGAACTTTTTGTCCTAATTCAATTTCGAGTTTGGGATTAGTCAATTTCAAGAATATTTTAT